GGTGGACGGGGATTCGAACCCGCGACCCTCAGATTGCGAGTCGAGCGCCTTATCCACCTGGCCATGCCGGGCAAAGCTACTGGAAAAGAAATTGACATACGATTTAGCTAGGTGAAGCAAAAGATGGAAAATCAATAGAACAGTATACAGCCAGAAGTTAGTTTGTCTTCATAAAAGGGGCAGTGCCTGTCAGCAGAACCCCTGAGATTGTCACATAATCCTAAACGAAAAAAACAACTATATTTTTTTAAATTTATATAGTGTCTTTCCTAGGATACAATTAGCCATGTAATACATATTTAATGATATATATACTCATAAGATATAAAAACTGTTTCCTTGTATATATATATTTTTTAAAACAAAGTAGTTCATTTGTAAATTCTGTACAGCTAGCACCTGAAGAAGGATCATGGGTAAAATGTGTGATTTATCTTTAAAAAATACGGTTCTTACATTCCGAGAGTGTAGATATTCAAATCTCTATGAATGAAATATAAATCGCGCAAAAATTACAAATGTTATACGAATAACATTAATATTAAGCAACAATATATATAAATAAACGTCAATGTGTGTGTGTGTGTGTAACTGTTCCTTATACATTTCCACATTTCTTGATCATTTAGCACCAAACTTGACACAGGATGACATGAGAAATGTCATGTGGGGGGGGGGAGAAACTAATTTCTGGAAAACTACTAATGTTGTATACCCCTCAGCATTATATGAATTATGTAACCACTATTGTTGGAATTCTTGAAAACAGTATGTCTTTCTTTCCACTATTGATACCTTTATGTATTTTTATTGCACTTTCAATGTATACTATGTTAAGAAAAATAGAACCACAATTTCCTGTTTTTTATCACAAATGAGTTTTTATTTCACCTTTCCAACGGACGGGTACTCCAGCTAGTATAAAATACTACAGTGTTTTAACGAAGGTCGACATTTGTTATTTTTCAGAATTGAATTATTAGTGCGTACTGTAAGATTAGACATTTTGGTAGAGAAAAACGATCTTTACTGTCCAGATAATTTTATGATTATCTCGAGTTAATGTCGCTTTTTACTATAGTTTTATTGCCAGAATGTCGACATTATCGCCATTTAAGCATAATATTCGTGATAAAAATCACGACTGAGTTCTTGTACTACTAGCCCTGTTGAAGTCACAAGAGCAAAACGTTGGCTTAAACATATTTTTGTAATTACTGTCTAGAAAGTAATCACAGTTTATGCTCTACCTTTATTGCCAGAAGGTCGACATTATCGCTATATAATCCTAAAATTCGTGATAAAAATCATGCTTGCCTTCAGGTTGTTTTGATTTTTTTTATACACATTTTTCTTACTTATTTCATTACGGATTTCGAATCAGCGGTATTTACAATAGCATTTTCAAATACATCTTTTGTTTCCCCAAAAATCAGAAGACCTTTTGTATTATTCACTCTACAACAATTGTTTGTTTGTTTTTTGGATTTCGCGCAAAGCTAAACGAGGGCTATCTGCGCTAGCCGTCCCTAATTTAGCAGCGTAAGACTAGAGGGAAGGCAGCTAGTCATCACCACCCACCGCCAACTCTTGGGCTACTCTTTCACCAACGAATAGTGGGATTGACCGTGGCATTATAACGCCCACACGGCTAAAAGGGCGAGCATGTTTGGAATACCCGTCACTACTACTACTTCAGATGTAGTAACGGTTGAGATGCTATTTATAATATCAAAATTGTTTCATACTTGTTAGTACGAACTTGATGAAGTCAATGAAATGTAATTTTCATCAATTCTATTTATGGTTCAACACTTCAGAACTAAGATTATGGTTTTTAAAACTATATTATTTATTAATCTTACTTTAATTAACCCTCTCTTTATTCAGAAGAACTGGCAAGCCAACAAGCTAAGTCTCGACCATGGAATCACGGCACAGGAATTTCTACATCTATTTTATGATTTTTCTTTATATCTCTTTAAAAAGCTAAACGGAAAACTCAGTGATTCAAACATTTCAGACATTTTAGCCAGAACGGCCAACTATTCTTGGATTATATGTCTGTCTATTTTCCTATAAAAGCGTGAGTCACGATAGACATATTTCTTGCATGTTCTACTAAAAAAACCAAAAATGAGTCATCAAATAAAGAGTGATAAGATAATACTGTGACAAGGCATTGACATTTCAGTTAATTACAGACCTTTTAAAAACTAAAGCTGAAATCAAAATAGCCGCTCCTAAATTTTAATCTCCCTACGATATAATTATTTAATGTTTTTGTTTCCCTCCCAGAAAAGACCCCCAATGGTTCAGCAGAGAGTCTACAGGCTTACGACGTTAAAATTCGGGTTTCGATACCATTGGGAGCAGAGCACAAATAGCCCATTGTGTAGCTTTGTTCTTAAAAACAACCGAATCAAACCTCCCCGTAAGAAATATTTTAAGAATTTCATGCAAACCCACATGACAGTAGAAATTACCAAGGTTTGAAAAACGTATAAATAAAAAATTGTACGTGCAAAGAAGTGGTAGGTGAATATCATATTTCACTCGAGTAATTTTTTTTGTTTGACAACGAGTAGAAAAGTACTTCCATTTTCAATGAAAGACCATAAATAGTTATATACATTCAGTTAATAGAAATAACTACTGTTGTAACGTTTCTTTCATTGGACGGGTTGTTTTGGATAATCTAGTAAAAATAATATTAAATCCAATCTACGTTACGATAGCAAATTAATTAATTAAATTTCTTCAGTAACGTTTGATAAAAGCCATGCTCACTTTTAGGTCTAATTTCATAAATAAACTTTTCAACAGAAACTGCGAAATGTACGTCAAACTTAATTACAACTTTGATATATAAACACGTAACTCACCGAGTAAATGAATGAACAGAATAGACGCGACAACTAACTACTAACATTAAACTAACCGACTTATCACTGATTACTCATTTATTTCTATGTATTCTTCTCGATTCTTCAATTTCATGGACTTTCCAGATCCTAACGTTATGCACCCTCTAGCAAATATCTAAGTTAAAACATTGAAAACACAGCTCACAACAATAGTGGCCATGCTTAGATTCATTTATTACGAGAAAAAGTTTTCTGCTTTACCCTTGCTTGAGTAACTTGGTCAACTACTGTCTAATTAGAATTAGAACTACGATGAAAGCCGATATTAAATCCATTTATATTACGTTAACACGAATTTTGTAATCAAACATATCTACAGGTAGCCTTACTGTTAATTTAGCTGAAAATATTATTCACATTCAGCAATATACAAAAAAAAAAAAAAGAACGTTGCTGAAACTCACAAAAGAAATGACCTGATGGTTTTATGTACATGTGTGGATTTCAGTGAAATCCATAATCTGGAAATCAATCTTCTGGTCACCAGCATCATAAATAGTCATCCATCTCACACAACAATCTATGAAGTATTATTTCAATGCAACTCCGACACGAGTTTCTATGGTGACTTTAAGTTAATGTAGCATATGTTCACATAATAATTGTAGAATAAATTGGACACACTATTCTTGCACGATAGAAATAAGATAAAAAGTAGTTCTTGATATGGGTCTGATAAGTTTAAGTTTTGATTTCAATTTTATAAGTCCAGAGACAAACTGACGTTGCTGTCATATTTCAGTACAAACATTTATATCTTGAGATTGAAAATATTTTGTTGTTAAGCCTTACTGCAAAGAAATATCATTCTCCATAACTTCTCGAAATCTGTTGTTTAAGTTTGTATTTCTTCTGATTGAGTTTCCTATCATGCATGGTGACTCAAGCACCACATCAACAAAGGGGATGTGTAATGATCACATTTAATATATCTAATCTACATGTGCCGAGTTATTGTCTAACTATATCATAATATCCGCCAAAAAATCCACGACTTTTCATGACTGGATTTTGTTAAAGCAGTTTTCCAGGTTTTCAAGCACCTATGTGAACCCCGTGCAGCAACAGAAGCCAAACTAATACACTGTGGGTTTTTCATTTTCCATGTGTTCCCTCAACTTTTTCTTCTTTTTAGCAGAAGTAAGAATCACTTAAGCATTGTTTCAAACATCACAAATTTCTACATTGTTAGGTGATTTTATAAAGATAATATACAAATCCAAAACACCTTAATAAGCTTCAAATTCTAAGGTAAATGTAATGAAGACTAGGGGCTTTACCCCCAGAGCATTTCTCAAGTTTCTTTAAATGCGATGCTTTTAGAACTAAAATCTATTCCAAACAGTTACCTACCTCCCAAAAACACGCTCTTCTTATTGTGTAGAACTTACTCTGTGAACGCCACCTGGCCTGAAGTTCTAAATGTCCTTGACGCAATGCAATGCTTGCATCACACCTACCCATAGTTCTCCATTCTTCCACCTTCTGCGTGACTTGTTCCTTATACTCAGACTCTATCTTCCCATCTAAAGTCAGTGAAACAGCAAATCTCAGTCGTGATGAGGTTAGTGAGAGTACGTTTTAAACATAAATACTTATTTGAAATTAATTTTAATTCTACAAATGTAAAATTCAAAACAAGTACACCTACAACAAAGTTTAAATGCACGCTCACGGAACAATACTAAACTTAAATGTAAAACAGTTTCGACATTTCACATGTCCTCATTAGTCCAACGTTTGTTTGGGTGAGAAACAAGTACCATCCTTATTTTATAACGGAAGTCCAAATGCCTTGAAAGGGCATATCATGTCAGAATGAAGTTCAACTTAAAGTAGATGTGTTGAAGTTTGACGATCTTGATTAACGAACTTTCAGAATTTTTCTTTAGACATAATTTGTAGTTCTATGTATTAGCTTGGCTGATTCCCAGCTTATTTTATTAGCAAATTCTCTTGTGTCTAGAAAAAAAATAGCATTATTTGTTTGACCATTTGTAATATCTTTTTTGTGTTCCGCAAGTTTGGTATATACATTTTTACCAGTTTCACTAACATAAGCTTTTTTTTGCAGACTTGGAAGAGAATATATATTATATAGACATCCTGTTCTTTATCTTGGGGTTGTAGACATATTTGACGGTTAAAGAGTTTTAATGGTATTGAGATATTTGTAAACAACTTTGAGATCAAGACACACAGTAGTGTGTCGTGCGGCCAAAACAACCTGCTACAGGACACGCAGTGTTTTTAACAGGAGTGATAGTTACGTCACACGAGCTATCGGTCTAACACTTTTACTACAGCGTCACCTAAGAGTAAAAATGGACAGTTTTTAGTTTTTGGTCGTTTGGATTAAAGAGGCTGATTTAGAGCAGCAAAAGTATAAGGTGAAAGGACGTGCTGATACAAAAGTATCGGTTAAGCCAAGTAAACTAGATTAGCAGTTTCTAGCTCAAGTTTTCAAAGAAATCACGAGTGGACGATTATTATTTATTGCCAATTTTTTAACACAACTTTGCTAACTTTTAGGAAATTATCCTAAATAAAGAGCGTTTAGCGTCACGTGATATTAGCTTAAGCAATTAGCATAAATAATGATGCTTGATACGGCTGTACTGATTACATGGGGTGATGACAATAAATGTTAATCTAAATTCCATAGCGTTACTATAAAGGAAACTGTGTGTGTTTTCTTACAGCAAAGCCACAACGAGCTATCTGCTGTGTCCACCGAGGGGAATCGAACTCTTGATTTTAGTATTGTAAATCCGAAGACTTACCGCTGTTCCACCGGGCGACTTATAAAGGAAGCTATTAACACTGTTTTACAGAGGACCTTTTGTTTTTCACACCTAAGGTATATTTTTGATTACATATCATGACTTTTGTCAAAACACACCAACAAACCAAAGCAAGTAAGAAAGTGACACTCGATAGTAACCTACATTTGCTTTAGGATTGCAATCGTTTCATTCGGAACAGACCTTTACTTTATAGAACCAACCAGGTTCTTTAAAATATATGGTGGTAGTTTTTGCGGCCAAGAAAGGATTGAGTGTGCGACTTAGAGAAGTAAAATAAAAATTGTTGGTCAAACTAGTAGCTACACTTATAGTATTGATAAGAATTTTACAATAAATATTCATTCATTAGTTAGCTAGGCCGCGTATTTTGTTTTACCCACAATCATGCTCAAAGTTGAACAAAAAACGCTACCTGGCTAACTAACGAATGAATATTTGCTGTAAAATTGCTATAAGTGTAACTACCAGTTTGGCCTCCAATTTAGATTTCATTGTTTTAAGTCGCACACTCAATCCTTTTTTGGCCACATCTAAAGTGTTTTTGATCAGATGGTTATTTTTTCAGGCACCTCTCTAAAGCCACAATATTAGAATTGTAGTTGACACTAACTATTTTCGTTTCATTTTCACATGGAGATGGTGCTGTTTGCTGGTCATCTTTACTAAAGAATGTCTTCCTTGCCTTTTCATGGGCAATTTTGATAAAGCCTATAGGATACTGCAATCGTTCAAACATTGTATAAATATTTCTAATTTGATCATCAAGAGTCGTGTGATAACAAATCCTATAAGTTCTTTAAAAATTGATATTTTAACTGTCTTATGATGGCACAAGAAAAAATGAACGTACCTTAAAGGATTTGTCAGTTTTCTTTAGACAGAAAAAACAGGTCCCATTTCCGCCCTATTTATGAGAATGTCTAAAAAAAGGGAGGGGGGAATTAATAATTTCCCATTCGACTTTAAACGTAATGATACTGTGAAGTTCGTTAATCTTCTGAAAGAAAAGCTTGAAAACCATTTTTATTATTTAGCCAAACAGAAGGCATGTCATCAACAAATCAGAACCAAGGGATTTCCTTTATATTCTGATCCACACTTTAATATCATCGTATTTATCTCGATGGAAGTCTATTCCATGAGAAAAAAAAATTGTGGAACTAAGAAGTGACTTTGATTTTGTCTGTACAAAGTACGCTGTTTTCTTTTTGTTAGTTTGTTCTATAATAAAGATTTATTCATTTTCACTAAATTTCTCCAGTCTTGTTAATTCACACACACACCCTAGAAAACCTCTGCTTTCAGATTTAAAATTACTCTCCTCATTTTCTGAGTGAATCTACTGTTATTATAGGGTATAACTATCTGACACTTGTTTGTAAATTAAATCTCTTTTTAACTGAAAGTACCACACTAGTACTAAATTTGTAACTGGAAGAAGATCCATAAGGAAAAACAATGTAAATGTTAGTCGATTCTAACGGTCAAAGTTCTGAGTGTAGGATTCAAGTTTGCAGTCTTGGTCCTATTCCTTTCCTACTGGAACTAAATGCTGTTTATGTAACAACCAGATGGCAGTGGAAAGAATGGATTTAGGTTAAAGGATAAGCAAAATGGCCATTATCATGACTATGGCTAAAAAGGTATTGGTCAAATAAGGTCTGCAGAATGGGAAAGTTCACTGGCATCAAGGATTAGTGTTTTAAAGGCATTAGCACATGTGAGCTCCAAGGAAATGTCTCTTAACAAAGGTAATCTATTGATTATTCAACTTCTAAAGATAGTTTTTAGAAAGGAGTAATGGTTTTAACTAGGCAGTTATGATTCCCTTTAAACCTACAGATATATATATCTAATCTTTTGAATGACTAGAATTCATCAACCTTGTATTTTAAATCTGGACTTTTGTCATTTAAAGTCAAAGCCAGGAATAAATTGACTATCTTGTCCTCAAGTAGCCAATTATGTTACATTTCCTATTGTGCCAAAGTTTCCCTTCTACTGTGATGGAAGGAGGAAGCTATAAGAAATCTTGGTACATTCAGGACTTTCTGTTTGGTGAAGAGCTGGACTCCAAAGATGCCTGAAATCAGCATGGCCTTCTACACAATAGAGCCCATGGAAGAATATGCATTAATAGCTGACACATTGGATGTTCAACACTTCACCCAGTCATTAGTTGGGAAGGCACTGAAGTCTCTGAGATTAAGCAACCCAAGTAATGAAGACAACCAGAGTAGCTCAAAACCACCTTCACAACTATCAAGCTGAGCCTACCAGCAACTCAATCACCACCATCAATTGCTTTAACAATGGGAGGAAAAAAAAGAGAAGTGGCAGATATCTCAGCATTAAAAGCCTCTCCTGACGTACCTCTTTGGAAGTAGACTAATGACAGTAAGGCATAGGCATCAGATGTACAGCCACCTCCAATGGGATCATTACATCATGGAGCCCAAGAAAACCTTCTTCTGGCTGCAAACACCATGAAGAACAACTAAATGCCAGGGAGACTAGAGCGAGGCATTTATAAGTGCTTGACAAGCACTACAATCAACAGACCATGATGGTGGCATTTCCAGCAGCCAATACAAGGTGGCTGCTGTAACCTTGATGCCTACACCAACTTCACCACTAACAACAACAGGAACTTTTGTGGTGGGACTTCCATCTTGATGATAGGCCAAGAACATTGCAAGGATTGTTGGACCCAAGGTGCAGTGAAGAAAAAGATGCTAGAAGCCAAGCATCTTCCACCTAAAATGTCGCAAGGACTGCCTACCCCAATGGCAGCCAAGGGTCGACTTGCTTATGACTCCACTTATCACCATCACCTAGTCCTGACAACAGTAGTGCAGATACATGTTCTTAAGTGGTATTGCCAAGAAATAGCAGCTAAATGGATAGAGGTCTAGGCCTTGTATAACATAAAAGAGGATTGTCTTCAATGATGCTTCACCCCACCTCTCCATTTACAAAAAGCAGTCTACCAGCTATGTTTGGAGCTGGATAAGACTAGGCTAGCCTCAGCGTGGGCCAAAGCCATTATCAGTGATACGATGGTTGCCAATCAGAAATCAATGGTTGCCTTAGAGGATTTATCATTAGGATTGAAATAAGGGTGAGGGGAGTTGAGTATAAGTGTACAGTTTATGAATGTTTATTCTATATTTATTTATATATATACATATATATTATTGTATCTATATGTCATTTTTTTTTCTGTCACCAAAAATTTTGTGATCACTTTGAAAGGTTTTTTTAATTGTATTGTACAGATATTGTAAGTACTTCAGCTGTATTCTTATATACATATATATATATATATATATATCCACTGAGATCTTGGATGTATATATTTATGCACATACTTTGTAATGTTTTGTCTAGTACAGTGAATTTAAATTATTTTTATTTCTTTCAATAGTAAAGAGTTTATTTAGTGTTTCTAGTTCTATTTCTATGTTTGTACTTATTAAAAAGCTATTATATGTTAGCTATATT